CACCCTGTAACCAAAAATTGACGTACTCGTCGTCAGCTGACTCCATTCTGAACTGCTCTGTATTGACAGTGAATTTCAGACGATGCCCATTCGGAGCGCGTAGAGTGTACTGACAGTCCAGGGAGTGTGGTAAGTCTAAAAAAATCGATTTTCTGAAAAATAAGGTTCCTATACTGATTCCTATAAAAAATTGTTATGACCTTAGAAACGCAATGCCCCTTCCGTGCGGACTATTGAAGGTTGCTAGGCGCTCATATAGCACTCAGCACTAGGTAGGATAGTCTCTTCAGTATTCAGTGTTACTATCCCTCCCTAGTCATGACCTTATAACAGCTAGGGCCTTAGCCATACAAACATGTGCCTTTGAAGGCACGCTCCGCGCTGATTGTGTGGGCGGAGACAGCCATCCACAATGCGCGCTCCTCTTCTTAATATTTTGGAAACGGTGGGGCAGCTATCGGAAGAGCTTGGCCGCAGTCTATCTCCGCCCATACTATTACTACGAAATGTGCTTTTAAACTTATCCCACATGAAATGAACTTCGAGTGCAGTGTTGTACCTTGTGAAAATTAGCCTGCCCAAAACGGCCCAAAAATCATATAAAACCCGAGCATGGTGACGCAGTTACTTGCTCTCCTCTCACCATTTTGGAATGAGAAAAATGAGGAAAGCTCAACTCTCCGCCCACATTGTTCTCGCGGAATGCGCCTTCAAGCTCAACTCCTATTATAAAGCGATCATCCAGGGTTCTACCCTGCCGGTACTTTAGCTGGAGAACAAGAACCTCCTAATGTAACCCAAAAGTCGAAATCATAAGAGGCTTCAAATTCGCTTACTTACAGTCATAATCCCTTGATAGGGCGTGTCGCCCAAGCCAGCGCAGACTTTCTCCACCAATGTTGCCTTCCTGAACCCCCTTCAACTGATGGCAATTCTTCCCTGGTCGCGCCACAAACCACGCCCTATCGTTTGCAGGGATCGTACATACGACAGTAATCACTTACATCCTGGGTATCGCGGAGTGCTGAGCACCTTCGAAGGTTCACTCTCGCATCAACAAAGCAAATTTTCGACTACAGTCTTCGAAATCTCCGAATATTCACGGCGTGAATCCCTAAAATTGGATACAGTGGCTTTTTGGGTTCACCGTTAAATGGGAATCAGCCATAAGTTCAGTGAAAATCTGGCCTTGTTTCTCGCTCCAACATTAGCGTAGCGCACAAACAGTCGCCCGGTTTGCATTGTGCCATTGCGGGTCGTCAACGAGTCGAGCGTGCCACAATAGAGCGCTTCCTTCTTATGAGGACTGAACTGAGTAGAGCGAGGTGCCTGCAAAAACCAAGCAGTAGTTCAACTAGTAAACTTTATTAAAATGTTACCTTCAACATCGTGCTCGCTCAAAGTCCTTATTTTGACAGGCAGGAACGCTTAATGAGCCCGAAACTTGAGCCGGGGGGGGCTGACAAGTGATACCGTTATAAAGCACCTGACGAATTGGTTTGACCTTTAACCTGATTCCGCCTAGGCCGACCGTTCCTTCCTACTCTGTGATGCCGGTTCAGTAGGCTCTCTTCACTTGTACTGACCACTCAAGCCATTGAGTCGATTAAAAACACTCATTCTAACTGCAATTCTGGATGGAATTAAGCCGCATGGCGTATTCTCAGAGTGTGTTGACCTCACGTCGTTTCCTTCTCAAAATTCAAGAGCAATCGGTTCGTGAAGAAAGTTTAAGTATGAAAAATCGCCTCCATCAATACTTTTAGCCGCTACCGTCTCTCCAAAGCACTGCTGCGCCGAACAAGACGTAGCGCAACCCTAGCTCAGATTACCAGAGCTTATCCGTGCAGGAATAATTTGGAAAGATTCTTTCCAGCCCAAAGAACCTTTCCAGATTATTCCTGGACGGATAAGCGAATTTCGGCGCAGTTCGACTTGCTGGTGGCATTTTGTTCATCCCCATCGAGCAGTGCATGTGCCTCCTGTAATGACCTGTCAATTCCTGTAAAGCTGTACCATAGCAGGAGCTTCGCTTACGTTTGACAAGAGTCAACATGTTTCACCAGGTGTGATGTGTAATCTACCAGGGTTGAAAGGGCAACGTGCCCCTCCCAAACCGAACCGCACCCGAGTTGTCCCGAAGCCTATAAGAGAGTATAACGTACCACAGACAACACATCCTTGGTGCACTGATCGGTTTTCTCCAAATCGAGGTCGATAATCTCATAACCAATGCGACGATTTGAGCCAAGAATAACAGACCACATGCACTTCTGAAAGTTTCGCGCCTCTCAGCCTTAATTCTTGAGGCCCTGG